CTCTGCTTGGAACAGAGATGGAACTATGCTTGGGACAGAGTTGGAACAAAGCGTGGGACAGAACTGGAGGCCTTTGGATCACCTGGCACAGTGGGAGGATTTCGATGATCACAGACAGGAACGGAGATGGAACTCTGCTTGGAACAGAGATGGAACTATGCTTGGGACGGAGTTGGAACAACGCTTGGGACAGAACTACGCTTGGAACAGAGCTGGAACTACTATGCTTGGGACGGAGTTGGAACAACGCTTGGGACAGAGCCACAACGTGTGTCAGTTTTATTCGCTTTGTGAAACGAGGTTTTTGGTTTGGAGCTTTCTGCTGCTCAGACGGTGTATCAGCAAACAGAACAAAGAAGGTAAAACGCAGAGAGCTTTGTCCTCTCCCCCCCCGCCCCCACCTTTCCCGCTGTCCACCCTTGCCTCTTCCCCCAGTTGCCTTTTGCCTCCCGCCGCCCTCCCCTCGGCCGCTCCGATTGCCTAAGTTGTTGCGGCTGCTCCCTACTCTCCAGCCACCTCGTTGCTAAGTCTGGTTTGAGGTAGGGCATTACTAGCGATGGTCCATCTATTTTTGGGTAGGGTGCTACTAGCGATGGTCCACGTAATTCGGAGGGCGACTGTTGGAAATGTCTGATACAGCCAATCCGACGAGTCATTGTTGTGAAGCAGAGGAAGGTTTAGACTCCACGCCGTAAGGTTTTTTGAAACACCATTTTCGTCCGAGGATTTGTTGCCTGTAAGGGGGGCTAAAAGCAATGTGTGTTTACGTTGAGTCAAAAGCAATAAATCGTAGATTTACGGTGAAAAAGTCAGGAAAACCTTTGAAAAAGCACTGAACTGGATCCAAGTAAATCACCAGACAAAGGTTTGGATCTGGAGCATGCATGTATGCTTTTCTTTGTGTTTTCCTGTTTAGCATCACTTTACTATCGTTCACTCCTGATGATTTTTTTTCCCGAAGTTCGAACTCCACAGGCAGAGTCAGGCTACCAGAGTCATCGTTCTCCTTCCCGTGGCATTATGTTGGTCATGTCGTCCTGGCTGGTCCGTGTCGGTCACCTAAACTGAAGAGTACAAAAGTGGGTGCAAGGCTGCAAGCATGTTGGCAGGCAAGCATACGACCGAAGAAAACACAGCTTGAAAAAACTTGCTTGTGTGTGTCAAGGAGTTGGTGATATTCAGCATTTTCTTTCCTGTGGACCTTGGGCATTTTCTTTCCTGAAGAGAGCAATAGTGGTTTTTGTATTTTTTTTTTCCGGCAATGTTTATCCATTGAGATTGTGATCCCACTGTTTTTATTTCTTTTTTTGCTGTGACGGAGGGGTACGGGGCCATGTCGTTTGACTGGTTCTCGCTGAGCCGCTGTCCTTTTTTCATGGGATCAAGTTCACCCAGCGACACAGCTTATCGCTCTGAAGCCGTCTGTACCTCATGCCACAACAGTGCTCCAGGGCCTCCAGCAGAATTCCATGTCACAGTTTCACTTTTAATACTGTTTATCGCATTTTAGGGCATAGTCAGACTTGTACTTTTTAACTGAATCTGACCTTTGATTGTGCGCAAATGCAGCCACGGAAGTCCTGGTGTCGCATTCTGCCACAGAGGTATACTTGAAATACTTCTTGATGCCATTATCCCTCTCTGCCTACGGTTTACCGGGCAGTTCTATTTGACGATATATATATCGTCACAAACAGAACTGCCCGGTAAACCGTAGGCAGAGAGAGAGAAGAGGACAGCAAACGAGGGGCTGTGACAAACTGTTTCGTCGGAGTTTATATATATATTTGACGATATATATATATCTGTTTGTGACGATATATATATCTACTAATACTTAAAGGCAAAAGCGGTCCTCGGAAGACGCCCCCCGTGGGCCCAGGGAAAAAGAGTCCCGCACGGTGGCCGGACAGGACAGACGTTCGATTTTCGTTCCGTGTGATTTTTCCGCCTCTGGGTGGGGTCGCCGGGTCAACGCCAGTGGAAGTTTTGTTGTTTTTTGTCCCGTCCGATTTTCGTTCCGTGTGATTTTCCCGGCTCTGGGTGGGGTCGCCAGTTTTGCGTTCTTTTTTTTTTTTTTTTTTTTATGTGACCCGATGAGTCACGGATCAGATATTAAACTGATCAGAACAGATACTACACTTGGGGCCAGATCCCACTGGCAAAGAGGATTGGAATGAGTGTGTGAATCTGGACGTCTTTGTGGCGAGGTGCAGAAAACTGTGATTGATCTGCTTTGCTGCATCTCCCAGTGGAACACGTCCAGATTCAGACTCTTATTCCAATAGTCCTTGCCAGTGGGATCTGGCCCTTGATCTTAGCCAAAAGGCCGCCCACCGTTTCATGGAGTTGATGATGTGTGGCAGCATCACCACATGCAATGGTCGCTATCGATTTCGCCGCGCGTTTGGCATGCATCGTCGAACTGATCGAACTGCATGTGGCCTTCCGACAAATTTCTTTTTGACTCCAAGCTGTTGGTCGAGGTTGGAGACTTATAGACTCTCTCTCTCTCTCTCTCTCTCTCTCTCTCTCTCTCTCTCTCTCTCTCTCTCTCTCTCTCTCCCCCTCTCTCTCTCACTCTCTCTCACACACACACACACACACACACACACATTCCATCGATAGGATGAGCAAAAACGGAATGAACTGTCTCTTATACACATCTAGATGTGTATAAGAGACAGATCTCAACGTTCCCCCCCCACCGCCTCCACCACCCCGCCTCCCGCCTCC